AGTAGGATGACGGGGGAGGGGAGGGGTGGGGGGTGGGAGAGAAAGTGTGAGAAAATCTTTTGTCTTCACACTGCTGCTTCTCGTGTTCTGTGTGGACCAGAATGTGACCACGGAATATGAAAAGGCGTGACAGGAAGAGATGAAGGGAAACTCATGAATGACTGTTTCTAGCCGAGGGAAAACAAGGAAAGCTAAATGTGAAACAAAAGATCGTATCTCAGAGGGACCCCTCCTTGAAGCAGTCACTTTGTATAGAGACGTGGCGCGTCGGCTGTACTGATACAGAATTAGTGCGTGATGAATGTCTACATTGATGTCCACCATGTTACTGTTATTAAAAAAAAACCTCATAAAAGCCAGCATAGCGTGTTTTACCTGTAAATGCTGTGTGGCTCCGAGCTGATGCATTCCACTCGTGTGGTTGTGATGAGTCGCAGCGTGGTTTCACACAGCAGCTGGTGTGTGGGCACGCAGCAAAGCTTGCAACCGGGCTTCAGCAGACCGTGATTTGTGGACAGTCTGTGAGAATATACATCTGAATTTGATCTAAAATGAATACTCATAACATGACATAAATCACATACAATGCTGTCATCATGGAGGGAAACTAGTAAACTAGATAAATCTGTTGATATAAAGTATTTTAATTCATCAGGGATCAGGCTGCGGCTTGCTAAGACCCTAAATCCCCAATGTGGAAGTCATTTTGAAATGACCTAAGCCTTAACTCTCTGAATCAGTCCAGTTATCCCTGCTTCTCACAACTCAACATCCAGTTTGACAAAAAGGAAATCTTAAAACTGTGGTGTTCATCCATTTTCATGTATCTCTGCACAGGTTGACGTGTCTGTCTGTGACCCTGGACCTGCTCAAGCGCTGCTGCCTGCTCTACAAAGACCTCTTGTCCTTCAATCACATCTTTCAGCCAGTCAGAACGCTGCTTTCCAAACACCTTTCAGCACAAACATTACCAGAGCCCGTACAGGTCAGTACAGAAAGGTTCCTAGATGTGTCTCTTTGTCATGTGTCTTTATTGTACCACCAGCCTTTATTGTAATGTTTGTTGTTGTGTTTCAGGAGCTTCACAGGGAGATCTTAGAGCTCATCAGCGGTGCGCCTGTGACTCGCAGTCCGCTGGTTTTAGAGAAGAAGAAGCCCATTCCTCTGAAGCTGCTCACACCCAAGATTGTTGAAGTGTAGGTGGTGATCCAATCTATTCAGAAGTCGTTTTTTTAATGACGTTGAAATTGGAAACTTGCTGCTTGTTTTGATGTATGGATGGACTGAATTGGTCCTGGTAAATGTTGGTGTTACAGCAGCACTTGTTTATTAAGTTTAATAAATAATACACAGAAAATAAACCCTGACACAAGAAAGAAAGATATACATTCAGTAATAAATGAAAGCTTCAAATATAGAAAATCTAAAACCTACATAAAGCTAAAATATGTCTAAATTATAAACATACTTTACAGGGAGGTTGAGGAGTTAATGTGAAAATGTGTTTTTTTTTTTTTTATCTAAATCGTCAGGTTGGATTACGGAAAGAAGCGTGGCAGCTCCAGGGAGGAGAGGGAGAAGGAGAAACTGAAGCACAAGTACAAGAAGGAGTTCAAGGGCGCTCTGAGGGAGATCAGGAAGGACTCGCGCTTCCTGGCCAGAGAGAAACTCAACGAGGTCATGAACAGGTGTGGATCTCAAACCCCGCCATGTTTCTGAGGAATGTGTTGGTTTGACAGGATACAGCCTCTAACTTTGTGCGTTTTGCGTTTCAGAGATGCAGAGAGGAAGAGGAAGGTGAAGGAACTCTTTGGCAGTTTGGCGACTCAGGAGGGAGAGTGGAAGGCCCTGAAGAGGAGGAAGAAGAAGTGAGAAACAGAACGTTAGTCTTCATCTCTTCTCAAATGGACCTCTCCCTCCTCCAGATGGATAACATCTACAAGGAGGGAAATACAGTGAAACAGAGAGCTACAGTTTTTTACTTTTACAGATTTAAAAAAGAAATCACAGCATGGATATATGAAACTGTCCTATCTCAACCACACTTTGATACTGTTTGAGGAGGTAGCTGTCAGGAATTTTGCACCAAGCAGCCAAATACTGTGATGTAGGCGTTTGGAGTGACGATAGGATGCTGTTGTTGAAAGTGTCAGTCAACACAGCAGAGAATATTTGGTTTGCTATCTCCATTTTACAACAGAATCCATCACTATAATGTGCTTTAAACCCAAAATAATAAAAAAAAAAGCATGTTTCTTTTCTCCTATTTTCCATCAACCATACGTATGTTGTTTCTATTTAAGATCACTTAAAGTTCAACGAGGAGACTATCAGCGATGAGATGGATTATCTCTATTTTATTATTAATGCCTGAATCTGCTGCCGCGGAGTAGGTGTCAGGGTGAGTGACTTACTGCCGATTTCCACATAATCTGTGAGTGCCGCGGTTTGTCAGCGCCACGGTTTTGCTCTGATGGACGGCGCGTGTCCTGCCCCAGTGGAGGCACCGTTTCTGGAGCACGAGCACAGCCGTGAACATCTGTACACGTGCAAACAAAATGTTGCTTTGTCTTTCTGAGTTTGCCTTGATGTTCCTTTTGGTACCTATTTTGACTTTCTTGTTGATAAAGTGATGGAAAATACAATCCTGAGTCCGTATATTGTTTTATTTTGAAACGACCGGGCGCTCTGTGCACGTCCTTGTCTGACTTCCTGTTCAGCTCAATTTGTTCTGTCTAGATTAACAGAAGAGCTCCGTCCAAAATAGACTCGCAGCGTATTTGAAACGGAGCAGGGCACAGTGGCTATGCTGGCGCGTGAGACGGGGTGCAGCGTTGAACTGCACGGTGCTGACAGGCAGCGACGCTTATGAAGTATGTGGACATTGGCAGTTAGTGCAGGATGCGGACAACGCAGTTTTTCTTTTTCTTTTTTTACATTCCCACTGCATAATTCTAATTTTTACTGTAGAAAGCAAGTTAATGTACTTGGTACTTTTTTGCCCACAGGGGGGCGCCAAAGTTGACACGAATCCAAGTAGCCTCACAGTAGCTTTAAGTAAGGTCTTGTCATTTTAACCATGTTTAAAATGCTACATAATCTCTCAGTCTAATCATATGATGAAGGGGAGTGTAGAGAAATGCAAACCTGTTGACTTGTGTTGAACAAATTAAAGAGTTTTTGAACACCCATTAACTTCGCTTAAATACACATTGAACATGTGGACTTTCTGTTTAACGATGGGCGTCTTCAGATATAGCGTAGCCATTTTGTTATTGAGAATAAACTTGTAAATCCAACATGTGGCTGCATATCTTTCTTTTCACATATTTTGTTATCACTGTTTGTGTGAGTCTGGCAGCTTTAAGTTTGGTTGGTTGGATCTGACAGCTCTGTGAGCAGGGATAAGAAAACAGTGATCCAAAGATTCATTTGGCACTAAACCAGTCCCACTTTAGGTTTTAACATCTTCACAGTGGTAAATATTTAAACACTTTTAATAGAATATTTGACTTCATGCGTTTGTCTTCTCTACATCAACTCAACAGTTTGAGTCTTTGCGATGGTTCCATTCCCCCTCCGGTTGCACAGCAGAAACTTAATCATTTTTGTTTTATAACTACTGAAGCCCTAAGCAGACATGCATCCATTCATTTTAATTACCTCAGTTTTCCAGCGGTAAATCATTTCCGGTTATCTCAAGATAATGAAAATAATCTGTCAAGAAAAAAAAAACAGCTTTTTTAATTGGAAGGTAACAAGAAAAATAGGGTTTGATCTGAAGAAAGCAACTGATATTAACTCATTCTCACAGGAAAACAAGGGTTAGTAACTAAAGATAACAACAAACTACGACTAAACAAAATGCATGTAGGGGCGCTGGTAGCATAGTGGTTAATGTGTGGGCCCTTTGTACGGTGGCTGTAATCCTTCAAACGGGCAGCTGTCTGTCAGAGGAAAGATGTCGCAGGAGTTGTCTGCGAGGAGAGACCTTCGTAGGGTGCGTCTTTCTTTTCTCGACAATCTATAAAGTCTGTCTGCTGGATGAGTGGGTACAAGCACAAGGCCAACTCGCTTTATTGTTATATCACAAACTGGTTCAGTGTCTACAGCCAGGATTATTCCGGCCTGTTAACACAATTTCCAAAAGGCATATGTTCCCCTAATGAAAGTGCAAAACATCTGCTCAGATTTCCATCAAACAAAACGATCGAATGATCCTTCTAATGTAAAATCATGTAATTAATATATATACTATATTATAATCTGATGAATCGTTTTAACATAACGGCACATTTCAATGAAATTTTAAAGCGTAATCCAGAATATTACAGTCATTCACTAATCTGCCCACTTCTTCTGTTGAACAGAAATAATGACTCATGAATTTCTTCTCAGTTGGTTCATCTTGGGGTTTTTTTTTTCCACCTTTGCCCCTCAAACTGCCTGAATAAAAATCCCTTATTATGAACATACGTGCTACCCGTACATTTCCAGCACTCCATGATCGTATTTAATACAAAAGAGAAATGAGTCTAAAACTCGAATGTGGGCTCTGTGATGTCATTGTCCCTTATTGTCCATCTCACTAAGTGTCCACATTTTAGAATATGGTTTATTTTCCTCTACAATGTGTCTGCAGAATTCATTTCCTGTATTTGCTCAAAGAAAACATCGACCAGGGTCACCGTATTAGATGGAATTACAGTCCAGTCATTTAGAATGGTAACAACAAGGGGTCTTAATGCCCAAATGTGAGGATGTGAGGGTCCATAAGAGTACATTGAGGTGTGTTTTGAGCTATTATGTGTTCTGTGTGCCCACCTGCTTGGTCTCACCATGAAGACTGTCCCCCAGCTGGCTCTGGGTGAGATTTGGGTGCATGTCTTTTTTTTACATTTCTACTCTATACAGATAATAATTCCTGCCAGCTTGTTTTTTTTTCCATTCTCATTCTGAACATCATACTAAAAAAGAATGAATCAGATAAAGCAAAAACACACTCTTTACATATTTTATTCAACACTAACACTCCAAATAAACACACCTCACAGCTGTAAACCCGTCTACTTTTACATGCTCTTGGTTTTTCCAAGTCCATTCAACATGATCTACATCTTTAATAGCACTGACAACCTAAAAAATACAACATGTATGCACAAAAAAAGTCCAGCACTTTAAAGCTCATCGCCAAAAAACAGTGACATTGTACGGACAAAAATAGAGAATATCATTATGCCTCCGTTTCAGACAGATCACTGTATTGAGTTCATTTATATAGAGACACTTAGGTGTTTTAAGTGGTAAAATGTAGTATAGTTCCATGTTTGAGTTATTGACATAGCCACATGTAGATTGTTGAACATAAAGACACACTCACACTCACACTCACTCACACACACTCACACTCACTCACACACAGTGACCAGGAGGCGTTCTCAGTGGAAGGGAAACACTGTAAAGGACAGCTGGTCACAGATGCACACCTGAGGTCTGCTTTAGGACTGATGTGTATAAGTCACACACACAGACACACGCACACAAAAATCATCTTTTATTTTTATTTATCTACAACATTTACACACACTGCTGTACATACATATGTGACATCACACACGCACACACAGACAGACGTTGGATACAGACTCCAGGTAAGGACGAAAAAACGAGGCACAACGGGACTTGGCAGAGCGACATGGAATGTTTCGGTTGTTGATCTGTTGATCTTTGATTGTGACGCTCTTGATCCGTTCAGTTATCAGAGTCCTCCTGAGACAGAAGAGGGACAAGAGGTGGGCTGTTAGTGTTCTGTCCTGTAGCTAAATGACCTTTAATGACACTACACCTCATAATAACATTACATAATGTTACTGTATAAACCACACTCGATCAAAGGTTTTTTTTTTTAATTCCCCTTGCTTATGTCACCTACTCAAACTCAGTCTTCTTCCTTAGCATGATTTCCCTTGAGAATCAGATTTATTTATCAGTTTTAGAAGATCATTTTAAACCAATGTTTTCCTTCCAGTTACAGAGTGAGGGATTGATGTAGCCGTATTGAGAACCCGTCCACAGTGTGTGATTTAAAACAATATATCTATGTTATTAATGTTTAACATTTCTATATTACCAACCCTTTATATATTTAATATGTGCTAGCACTGTTGTATGGCCTGGCTTACACTGGAGAAATCCTGAAAAAGAAACAGAGCACCTTTAACAAGCTAGGCTAACGTTAGCATCTGCTCGGCTCATGAAGCCCTGTGGTTGTGTTTAACATGTTACCACCGTATTTGGTGTTTTCAATTATCTTAACTTTAAATTGTAAAAAAAAAAAGATTCAGCCATTAAATGTTAAAAGAGAAAACTTTAATTGCTAACATTTTGCTAGCTTTGGCTAACCTTACAATCTTTGATAGCACAGTTTTTTGTTTTCTGTCCCGTGATGATTTAACCAAAACAAGTTAGGCTTTGCTGTCGTAAATATTACGACAAAATATGTAATTTCTATGTAGGCTTGTGTATTGAAAAAATAAATTAACAACTTGATTTTTTGCTGTATTGCTGTATTGACTGGTGTCACTCGGGCATGCTGCTTTCCATTATCTGAGGCTTTTTTTTGAGATTGGTATCAGTATTGGAACAACTCTCCCAAATTTAAAATAATGGACAAACATTTTCAAGATAAATGTTTATATGCCTTCCTGGCTGTTTTACTGTTATATTTCAGTAGATTCATATTATTTGTTTAGGCTGATTAGAGAAAAAAAAGGGCTCCCTTGTAAATCCACTTACACTCTTGGCGTTTTCCAATTCACCTTAACAAGTTAAATACTTGTCCTTTAAAAAGTCCATAAGCTGCTTCCAAGCATCAACATCAAATATTTTATACAGTAGTGATGAAACATTTTACACTCAGTGAGCTTTTAAATGTAATGCTTTTCAATAAATCGCATTTCTGTATTAAACTTTCAATCCCCTTTTTTTTTCCTCAAACTTTGACCGTAGGATTTATGTCGACCGGTTTCTCACCTCTGTGATATCAGCAGGATCATTGTCAACTGGTGACTCTGCCAGGGTCTGCACTGCCGAGGGATCCTCACCCTGGGAAAAAACAAAACTAAAGTCAATTTCCATTTAAGCATGCAGTTAAAAACGATAAAGGAGAGAAAAGTAATCCAGAAAATTAAACATTTTAATGTGTTAAGTCTGTGCACAGATAGTAGCACTTAAAAGAATAATGAAAACATAAAATAACATGGACTAGCAGCTTCTCTAATCTGCATTTGTGCAAATATTGAGCCTGTTAATTCTTAATTCTTCCCAACTGAGTAGTTCAGACGGTACTCCTCATTTGAACATGTTTGATAAACAAACTGAATCCCAGTTCAACTAATGCTTCATTTATGTAATGTTCTCCGAGCTAAAGCCTATTTACAAAATTAGATTCAGGGAGTGTTTTGGCGCTTACAGATTGCCGGTTGAAGGCGGGATACTTATGTCCTTGTGAAGCTTTGTGTGCACTGTGCAACGCACAAAGGCAGAATGGTGGTTACGCCCCGATCCACCACTGGAGGTAGTAACAGAGAGAGAATACGGGGGAAGACGGAGGCAATGAGTAACGTTTGGGACGACGAGGAACAGCGGTGTGTGTGTGTCAAAACTGTATGTGTGAAGCTCCTGTTGTATGTTCACACGGCGTGCATCTTGTGCTTCTGCCATGCGGTAACACAATGTGAATTCACAGACCGGGACAACAATATTTCACCATAACAGATACAATGTGTAGCTAAAAGTAGCTAAAGGCACAATGATGGCCGAACATCGTACAGAACCTCAATCTGTAAAAGCATTTCTAGAGCCCATTTTAAAATAAGAGCCTTTTCCATCTATTTTAACAGTATGACCTTTTGTAAAAAGATGATTTGGATTGAGTATGAAACATTTGGTCTCTGTTTTTAACTACTGGTATAAAAAAAAACAACTCTGATTTGGCATAAAAAAGAAAAGAGCTACAATAAAAGGGACAACTTTCAACTGTTAACACAGCAAAGTATATAACATGTTTTTCATTTTGATTTTTGACACATTATTTGCCTTAGGAAGGTCTAGACTGAAGCTTGTGTATGCAGATAGACTCTGGAGCAAAGAAGTTCCACTTGTATTTGCCTTTTCCAGAACCTAGTGGTTATAGAGCTAAAGAGACCACAGAAGGAGAAGGTTAGGGTAGTTGGACAAGCCTAACTTTATCATATTTATCAAGTGTTTCCTGCCCCCCCCCCCCAAGACAGGCGACATAGATCAGAACACTGACTTGTCTTTTAAACAAGGCATGAAGCATTAATGAAGAAGGTGGGGGCGGTGACGCGTCTCCTGTCCAGCTAAGAGACGGGGGCTTGATTACAGCCTTTGTTCTTAATGAGGAGCGGTCACAGTGTGCTGACGTGCACTCACACACAAACACTCACACACACACACTCACTCACACACAAACACACTTCTGTGATGTGTAGATGTGACGTAGCCCCCGTGGCTGACATAACCTCAAACCAGTTATTGCTCCTTTTCCTCCTGCTGCTGCATTTAACACCACCCATCAAGCCCCCATCTGTTGACCCCGCTGAGTCAGAGAGATGTGTGCTTACTCTAACACACACACACACACACACACACACACACACACACACACACACACACACACAAAAGCTCCATGGTGCCAATAAGACACTGCCTCAGATTTACTTTTGACAAGAAGTTTAAGGTTTTAATACCTCACCTACAATCTTTGTTGTTTTTTAAAGCAGGTTGTAGACAATAATTGCTTCCCAGGGACTTAAATACAGCAGCTTCTCCTATTTGATTGGAGAAATGTGATATATTTGTTGAGACCTGTCATCCCCCCACACACACGCACACATTCAACTCTTTCCACCACTCATCCTCTTCCTCATTGTCAATGTTTTTCTTCTTCTACCTATCTGGCTTTTGTGTCATGATATGACTCACCACTAGCTGATGAAACGGTAAAACAAGTAGATGAGGAGATTAATCAGACTCCCACCTTGTGTTCGTGTGTTTGTGTGTGTGTGTGTGTGTGTGTGTGTGTGTGAGTGAGAAACGCAGGAGACCTTCTTTGATGGGGCTCTCCAAACCTGGCATTAATTTTTCAAAATCAAATCAATATTAATGACGTTTAATGGCTGTGCCACCTGGGAACAAGGGATAAAGGAGGACGATCTGCTGCTGTCTGCATGTCAATCTCACGATCAGAACACCAGGTTTTTTTATTTTTTATTTTCTTGATCATGTCTGTCCCTGTCACTCCGTCCACCCTGTGTCTGTTTGTCCATCTGTGCGGCCGTCTGCCAGTTTGGCTTGTCAGGGTTCCTCATAATGAGGCTGATCACATTCCAGGTGGAGCTCCATCAGTGTTTTTATCCCTCAGGATGAAAAATCACGATTAGCTGTCCAGCTGCCTTAATAACACAACTGCTAAGGAGGATGCACAGATTCAATTGGATGTTTGTGAGAAATACCACCAGTGATGTTTGATAGATTGTACAGGAGCTTTTTCCAGCAATGTTAAGATCAAAGCAGAAAATCACCTCAATAAAGAACTGCAGAAAAAAAACAACATTTGTGCAGGTGTCAGTTGAGATAATAACTTGGTAATTTCCTTGGTATTTGTTCCTTTTACCGCCTAATTGTATCTATTTAGCGCCGATACAAGCAGGAAGCACGCTGAGGAGATCTTTGTGTCTTAATTAATGTTATGGATTCCCCTGTGTTTCAGCCCTAATTAACGGAAGGCAGATCACACATCACAACAAACATTCAACATGCCAGGCAGGGAAATATTTCAACGGCTTATCATTTCCTGGTACTAACAGCAATGTTATGCAAGAGAAGGGTTATACGAGGTAAACTTAGACTCCTATTTGATTTTTAACACATAGCATTCCAATTATAAACCAGAGTATCTGCTTTGGTTTGACAATAAAAGAAGAACAGTGGTGACAGTTTTTTTTTTTTTTTTTTTCAGTGTAAAAACCAAGAGGACCATCTGCTCTTCTCGTTCAGTTTGTCCTGCAGAAACAGTTTCTGCCTTCATGAGAGTTGTCATAAATAAAAGTGAGAATGTAGTTTGGGATCTTGCATGCTGCAGCCTAATGATGATACCCTGTGGAGTATTCAAGATACATAACTTTGTTGCATTTTGTAACAAACACATAGATGTCTCATTTAATTCTCAATCTGCATTCATATTGGTATGCAGCAAAACAAAAAATCTGAGTCATGCACAGCCTGAAGCGTTCTCATGAGATGTAAACACATTAGGGACCTAATAGTGAAAATATTGCTCTATGGCACTACTAGTGGTCAAACACTCTACAAGTGTCCTTTAAAAGTGCATTGTAGTTGTTTCAAATACTGCTAAAATTACTGTGTGCAGTCAAAAGAAAAAAAGGCTGGAAGGCTGTTACTCTTCTATATTTCAGATAATTCATGAAAAAGTCCTGATTGGGAAGAGAAGGTTAAATAAATAGAATAAATGCAGTTAATCTATGAAAAAGAGAGACACTAAACACACAGCTCATATTGAACATGTGTTGCATCAATATTACAGTAAACTACCTCGTCCTTTTGACAAACCATGGCCAGACTGACTGATGAACACCACAGAAGAGCTAACAATGTGTAACGTCTTTCATTTCAGAAAAAGAACGACGCAGCAGACATGAGAAGTGAAGATGGATGACTCAAGGTCAGAAGACCATTTTGACACAGAAGAGTTCTAGCTGGAAGCCGCTGACATAAAATGGAGGTTTGTGCTGAGCTGCACACCTACCATCGCTACAGGTGTTCAACAGTATCATGTGTGAAAGGTATGGACTTAACTCTTCTCGTTTTATGTAGAAGGAAATCTATATCTATTTCTTACAATGATAATAGCTGGGCCTGTTTGTGATGAAGGCAAATGACCACAACATATAAAGTCACATCTTGACAATGCTTCTCTTTCTCTTTATTCACCCCATAATTTGAATCACAAGAAAGAGAAATGTGAGTAGTCAATTAATAACTGCTCACAGCACACAAGCGACGGCGAACAACTTCAGACGGAAAGCTTAAATATGTTGACTTTGGAGTCATTGAAATTGAACTGAAGGAACTTTACTTTCTGCGGCGCCTGCCCACAAAGATTTAGTCAAATAACCAACAATAAATACATTTTCACTGAAGGCAGCTACAATTGAAGATAGATGGACATTATTTGCAGGTGGTAGCCAGCTAATGTTGGCATATGAATCATCTTTCATTTAAACCCATTACTGCGTATAAAGTGGTTGTGGAACTAGTTTATCTGTTGGAGCCATTATTATTTTGTTTGTTGGGTTGACCACTGGGTGGCACTGTGAGCCCAGCGATCTAAACTGGAGTTGAAGGACGTTGATTAGCATTTTGTGCACACTTGTAGTTTATTTGGGCAAATTTGTAGTTTATTTAATGTTCTTGATAAATGTTTATTTTTAAACTTATTAAATGGATGGCATATTCGACATGAACATTTTGTGTTTGAGTGTTGAGGATTTTTGGACCAACTCTAGCTACAAGTGAAAAACCCAACCAAATGTAGAAATGTACGTCATCAATTTAAAATGTATAAAACTGTGGCTCTGCCATTACTCTCCTGCAGGAGGCGCTAGAATACTTTTGTCTGGAAGATAAAGTTCCTCAGTTTGCTAAATACAATTTTTCCAATAATATAAATGTCAAAACACATCTGAATTACTGGAAAAAACAACAACAACAACAACAACAACAACAACAACAAACAAATAGATGAACTGTAAATGAACAGAATCATTCCTACTTTTTTGGCTGGATCCTTCTTGACCAATCCAGTTGCAGCAGCAATGCTGCCAGCACTCTCCACAGTTTTATGGGCCACAGCAGTTACCCCGGTAACCATAGCTCCTCCCACAGAAGCAGTTTTACCGGCAACTTTATGGACAAAAGATGAAGAACAGAGGAGGGCATTTAAGGAGGTTGTGTGACTCTATGTAGCCTCTATTCCTGTGGGATGGGGGGGTAAGGGACGTACATAAATATGATACACACGTCACAATACTGGACTTTAGAGCATAATTGTGAATTAATTGATAAATTGGTGTGAAAGATCATCATTCTTCAAGCTATATGTTTTCACCTAAATAAGCAATGGGTTTACTGTATCTGAATTCTAGTCTGGGTAAACATAGCTGTTTAAAAATCCTATAATCTTAATAATCCTATTAGGAAATGCCCTGCAGATCTTTTTATAACTAGATTATTACCTGTACATTCATTTTGATAAATATGAACTTCAGGAACAACATGGAGGCACGTTGCTTTCGAAACTCTTCTTCAGCTTTAACCCAGTTTTCAACACACCTTACAATGACTTGTAGTGTATTTAGCTATAAGTAGCACGTTATCTGGTTTGTTTTAGAATGTGTTTCATATGACTTTGTATGAAGGGAAACTAGACTAAATCCAGGCTTTCTTTATAGGTTGAGGATGAAAATAATGTATTACCCTTCTTGTCTAAAATAAGGGATATCAGATAACACATGCTAAACTCTGTATTTGATGTTTCCATTTGGTGCTTTTTAAACATCCACATCTTGATGTTATGGCCCTATCAATGGTTCACAGTTCTAATCTACACAAGCTATATACAGTAGCAGGAAAAGAGAGCAACCACAAATCACACAAAACAATGTCAACTTCATCTTTTCTGTTGTTGAAGTGATCACAAGCATATCAAACCCATGATATAAGGTCATAAGTACACCACAGCTATGTTTTTAATGGGAGAAAATAGGCTACACTGGTAGTTAACTATTTTTTGGCCATCATAATTAATCACAGCTAAGTTGCAATAAGGTGTAGGCTATCTATCCCTGCATGTTTGGACCTCATGAAAACACACTACAATTTCAGATGTTGGTCACTTTGTCCCTCTGAGAACAATACATCTTCTCTCAGACTTTAATAAAACACCATTACATCATATATTTCTTTTATAATCCCAGCCTCCAAAACACTAACTGTACTTGGAGCTGAATATACAACAATACAGACGTTTCCCTGGATCCCTATAACAGGAAGTCTCCCTTGGCTTCTCTGCTTGTTATGCATGAGAAATGGCAGGACCCAGTGGTCTGTGGGGACTTATATGGGGCAGGTTGTGTTGAGCAAGGTGGTGAAATGTGACACTCGCTCACCTAGGGGGAAAATATATTACTCTCTCTATTACCGACCACATGAGGACGCAGTGATATTCCCCCTTTTTATGTCTTTTTTTAATTATTTTTTTTAATGTCATAACCTTTGTCTTGTTGTGTGAAATATGATATTAAGAAGCATTTAAGGCTGAATTAACTTATATTACCTGTTGTGACTCCATCCACTGTTTTGTTGCCTGTAAGGTAAGGCAGGTGAAGCTCAATTAGTCAGAAAATATTTTAAAAAAAAAAATGTACAGTGCATAAACATGCTGATTAAACTCAGGCCTATAGGTGAGTGTAAAACAAAACGCCAACTTGTCGTCACTGTAGACGTGGAAAAAAAAAAGGCTTTTGTTTCCATTTTATTTTAACAACAATAGTCTTAATTAAACTAATTGAATTCAGAACCCACCGACAAACTTAACCCCATCTCTCGTCATCTCGGCCGCTCCAGTCATTCCCTGCTTGGTTTTCTCAGCCGCCGCCGCGACCCCATCCTTGGCTCGATAGAGACCCTTCATTAACGAGTCCATGGCTGCTTGATTGGCTCCCGGATGACACGCGCTCACAGCTGTGGGGGATGTCAAGATAACAGCCATGAGAGGCGCTCGGTATTTAAACGTGACATTACACACAACAAAAAAAAAAAAAAAACCACGACGCCACCGCCCTACTTTCCTCTTTGCCAGGTTTTGTCAAGCGAATCTCGGTGTCTGAAATAGCAATGTGTGTGCTGTTTCATACATCAAACCTGCTCTGAAGCGTGCTGAAAAATCCCACCTGTAGGATTTTTGGGTTCAGCCCCACTGAAAAATCATGAATGGATTTACTATCATTTGAAGAAAAAAAAAACGTGAAGAGGTCTAACACATTGTAACGCCATAGGAGGGGGGAGGAATTAAAAGTCAACCAACATTAATTAGAAAAAAATACAGCCTAGCCTATATTTTAAAAGGAAGAATAGAAGAAGAAAAAAGAAAAATAGGTGTCCCTACCTGTTCGCTTCAACTGTAGGTTACTCAAGGCGACAATAGGATGAGTCTTCCGGAATGACAGCTGAGATTTCCTTGTATGAAGAGCCAGAAAATCCTGTTTTATTGTTTCTAAACTACAACTAATCCACAGGCGAGGTGTGTGTAGTGATCCTCAAGACCAGACAGACAGGAAAGAGAGAGAGAGAGAGAGAGAGAGAGAGAGAGAGAGAGAGCGAGAGACTCACTCCACAGGTTTGATCAGCGCCTCCTACGTTTCGGTGATGGAGAGAGAGAGAGCGATTAAAACCCCCGTGATGCTGATGCGTGAAGAGATGCTCTGCTGTCTGTCTGTCTGTCTGTGACACACATAGTCAGTCCCCCCCCCAACACACACACACACACTCACTCACACGGAGATTACGTAGCTCTTTCTGTGTACGTGGTTAGACAACAGCGTGTAGGTGCAGCAGGCTTTTAATGATCATCAGTCAGTGAATGCATCTTCTGCCAAACGGCCAATTAGTGGCTATATAATTATGCAAAATAACACTGCTGGTCTTTTGCATGCAGTGTCCACACATGTGAGTAAGATGTTAACCACAGCTTTGTGTGAACTACGTAATGATTTTTCCCCCCATCTTAAATTAAAAGGTCGTTTTAGTAATGGATTTATATAATTAGTCTTTTTTACAAGCATTGAAAGTGACTTGATTTTCTTTCTTTTTTTAATATAGGTTACACAAAACAAACACGACCGAAGAGCTGGACTTTTTTTTTTAAGCTTTTGAACTTTTTGATGAATCATTAGAATAACAGATTTTATTACTCAAATGTTGATCAACTTTAGGAATAAAAACCTGATCTTCTAGATTAACTATTTGATCCTTTTTGATAGGATGTTACTAATAGCTTTGGTAATAGAAAGCCTAGTTTAAGACAATAACAGCAAGAAGTTTTGGGTTGCCAGGTATTGAAACATCATTTTGAATAGGCACTTTCTAGAAAAGGGCTACAGATAGATGTGGTTCAAATGCCTTGTTAGAAAGTGGGACACATTAAGAACTAATGTATGAAAACAACTCTTATTGTTACAGTCTGTTTGAGATCGTTTGGTTAGTCAATACTTTGGAACTCATCTGTAAAATATGGAAACAGGGAGTGATGGAACAATGGGGCAATGTTACGTTTATTTGTATAGCAATTTTAATATAGGTTTCATTAAAAGTAGTTTGCATGATACATTTAAAGCATTAAGCAGAGAAAACAGAGTCATATTCAAAATGTGTGTATTTTAACACGAACATCATCAGACACAAATAGAAACATCACATTACATCATGATACTTGTGATGGTTTCAGCTAAACACAGAAACCATTGACTTTCTTCAGTAGATATATACTTCCAAGATCTGCAATGTGGTTGGCAAATGTTTTTAAATGCACAATGAATATATAAGTTGTTAGTATATTTTCTTTGACATTTCCTAGAAAGAAAATACACACAAACTTTCCATGTACAGTATGGCCTTGAATCTCAAACTTCAAGAAAGCCACCATATTTACTCTGACAAACAAAGATGATTTTTCAACATAGAACTAGGACTTATATGACAGAGAAGAAAACATAATCAAGCTGAAGGTCTTCTAAGTTGCAAATATACCAAATTATAAATACAATGGCAAATACACTGCCAATGTATTCAATGCAATCAACAGTATGCTGGAGTTTGCCATTTCTTTGGTAATTAGAACAAGTAATTACCAAAATATTGGGACCCTTGGACTTTGTTGTTGATGTTGTGGGGGTTTGAAACAGGTATCAGTATTGTTTGATGTTCACCAATCAATAATCTGGTATTGTGACAACCCTAATTTACAGTAAATCTCAACATATGGGACTACCCACTACTCTAAAATAAGTTTTTCTTCATAGTTCTTACCATGCAACCCAAAAAAGGTTAAACCATCAGTTACAGCATTTTCTTTGAAACCAGTACCAATGTTTCTCCCATTTCCAGGTCTCAGTGCTTTGGAAATAAATGATTTATTAGCATCATGTACATGTTTTTACATATGAGCATGAGCATTTATTACCTCATTCATCAGTCAGTCGGCTCATCACTTGGTTCCAGGCTTTAATATCTCTACAACTATTGAATGAGTGATCAATTTACCACTGACATTTACTGCCCCAATATTGCTGATCATTTTCGGTGTGGAATTCCATCTTTAAATTTGTTGCCTCTGGTAGGTGAGCCATTAATTATTTTCTGTTTGCATTCCACTTTTCCCAAGGTCATTTGTAATATTCAAACAGTCACCTGACATTACGCTAATGCTGGAGAGCCCGATTTTAAAATATTAAATTGCTGTATTAGATGTTTGACAATTGCAAAAATGTAAAGAATCTGTGACGTCATGATAAATACACATGCTTCTTTAAATCGTCACCCCCTGAAAAGACGATGCATTGCGATTACCAGAGACATATCGGGCCATATTCAAGGTGAAAGAACTTCATATGATAGCTCATTAACTGAGAAGCCAACACCACTGATGTCAGCCATCAACCAATTCTAGATAACTAGATTACAGACAGTAATGTTAGCTATAGGGAGTGGTTAAAAGTGCAATACTTTTCTTTAGGTTTCCAGGATATGCGCTGCTAGACGCGCCCAATTAACAACACGTTTTCCTTTGTTTTTTTTAAGATTGTTTATTCCTCTTCTTAAAACAGAAAATTTTAGCATTCTTTTCTTACCGGGATGGAGGAGACACAGGTATGGCGATAGATTCTTTTGTGTAGATTTTTCAGATTGTGTAGATCTTTTGCTTTGCTGCAGTCTAAAAACAGTGTGACTGCATACCTGACTGGGCACAGGTGATGTTCATCAGCAGCTGCTCTCGCTCCTTCAATTGTGGGGCGGAGTTTGTATTACGCACCGTCCTTTCCCTTAACCACTCGGCATTAATTAATAATTCATTTGAATAAGAAATAATCAATAAACAACTCAAAATTGATAAACAATGCAAAATATCCAATAAATCAACTATTTGGCTTCAACAGTGGTTAAATACTCTGAGAGTAGAAGTTGAGCTATCAAATATCTTGTTTTAACCTGACATATGGGCCTGTGTCATCCACATTTTCACATCTGTTCATCTTTTCAGTTAATGATCATTTAAAAAAATTGCGAGCAGATAATGTTTTTTTTTTGTTTTTTTTTTCAAAAATATTTTTATTGTACTTTTAACTTTTAAACACACATACAGACAATTCAAACAGTACAACAGAACAAACAACACACATTGTCCACAAATTACATTTCTCATCTATATCTCAGACACATGGCACACCCCAGACATTATAGACAAAATAGTTATGCCTGTAACCACTAAGTATGGCACGAAGAATGCCACGGCATCCAAGCTTGTGCAGTAAACAGTGTATAATAACCACAGTTGACAGTGAGGCAGCACCTCTTTTTCTTTTACATTGAACATTTTTTAACATTAAAAGCAATGTCTTTTAAGCGAGATTTGAAAACAACGCATAAAATAAAGAGCATCAAATAAAAGATAAAATACATTTAAAAAAAATAAAACACTACCACTATATCTAAAGAAAGGTGTCCAAATTTGCAAAAAATCATCACCTTTACACTTGAACCTATATGTTAAATACTCCATTGGTATGAGGTCAAAGATTATTTTATGCCATCCTAATACTGAAGGTGGAGTATTATCAATCCATTTTAGTAATATGTTTTTCCGGGCAGTGAACGTGAGGATACTGAACAGCCTTCTTCTATAAAAGCCCTTTAGCTGAGGACTGGGTAAACCAAGGAGCAAAGTTTGAGGCTCAATATTAAATTGAACATTAAAAATCAAATTTAGTTTACCAGCAATTTTACCCAAGTAATCTTCAATGTGGATACATGACCACATACAGTGTCTATAGCTTCACACCTCCACAATACATTTTGAGCACATTTCTGACAGACTTGGATTCATCCTGTGTCTTAGCTGGGGGGTAATTTGTAAGCGATGTAGTATTCTAAACTGAGTTTCTCTAGTTCTATAACATATAGAAGCTCCATATTTGAGCCCATGTTGCTTCATCCATTGTTAGGTTCAGATCAGTATTCTACATCCGCCTCAAGTAATCTGAGGACATGCTACCAGCAGGGTGGAGTTTCGCATAACCCTGACCAAGAATTGATTTCTTGCCTCTGTGAAGAAGTAAAGATTCAATCTATAATGTTTTTTTGTGTGTGTAGCAACCCGGAAAACATTCAGTAAGACAGAATTTTAGTTTCCCACGCTGGGCGAGATGCCAGAGGAAAATGGCCACCGTGTAAATTCTGAGAATTGTTTGACCATTGGGCATGAAGCTGAACTTGGAATTTCGCGGTGCATCCTGAGAACCGCTCCATTGCCATTTGACAGTTTAATACTCTTAGTGATCCATTTTTCTGGTTATTCCTATTGGTCGTGGATAGAGATTGTTCGCTATAACGCTGTTTTGTCCTGGTGGTGAATTTCTGTGTCAAGCACCAATACTGTGAAACCTATACAAGCCTAGAAATAGTCCATAACAAATACCCACTGCACGTTGGGAAAAAAAGCCGGAAAAAATACATTATCCATATCTGAGAGGGAAATATATTAAAGTGATCATATTATAACTTAGAGGAGAATCTAAATTGAATAAATGACCATTTACTGCATGTTATCCATTGAACTCAGAGCTGGCATCTCCCTCTACAGAAACCAGATGGCCTCAACACTTCCCCTCCACTCCGTTCTGTAAGTTTCTATGTCGTCTCCCCACTCAGAGCCCCAGTCCCTGCCCAAAGTCTGTCGCTATGTTTTCTTCTGGTGAGTCATCATCCATCACGAATCTCCACAGAAAAAAAATCCCGGCAATCTGGCTTGTAGTTGCCAAAATTTTGAACAAAATAGGTAAACCTGCACCGACTGAGCTACATCACCAACAATACAAGCTATAAGAATACAAAGAGTAAAGAAACACATTTGGATTTAAGGTATTCAGCTCATTTCTACCATGCATTAGCTGTAGAAACTGTCAAAAACTGTTGAAAGCATTGCTGCATTTATGGAGAAACGCACACAGTAATGCATATCTATCTTAGCTATAATTCTGCAGTCAAACACCTCTTGTTTCTTAGAATATAGCATGGCCACTTTCTTAACCTGTTTCTGTCAGATTAGACAGAAAGATGTTTATCGTTGTTACTGTAGAAGTTGAATACATTCAAATGTGAACGTTTCAGCACAGATTGTAGGTGTACTGTACATGTGCTATGATTCACTCTGTA